TGTGTGTGTGTGTGTGTGTGTGTGTCCCTGACCCTGCATCACAACGCGTGCTCATCTACCTCGCCCCTTCCCCCTTCATCACCACCACCATCACCACTACCACCACCACCACCACCACCACCAGGCATGGACCAGCAGCTTCAGCGCTTGGCCAAGGACGCCTTTCCCTCGCCAACCAACTACCACCGCAGCCAGCACCAGCTCCCGTCAAAGTACAGACCAGGCAAAGGCTCGCTTAGGTCCACCTCGCTCGCCCGCACATACGCCGCTGCCGCCGCCGCCACATCTGTGCTGCCGTCTGTGCCATCAACCGCACCGGCTGCATCAGCATGCGAGCGCACGTCCAACAACCCGAGCCTCGTCACCCTGAGTGCCGGAAGCGGTCGCCACCCCCACGGCCGTCGAGGCAATGACGATGTGAGTACGATGCGTGTGAGCGGAGTTGGCTCCACATCACCGTCCGCCCGAACAGACCAACACCAACACCATAATGGTCAGCGTTCGCGGTCCGGTTCGCTCGCAAGTGCACAGCACCGCAGACACCAGCGCCAGCAGGAGCATGGCGAGGGGAGTGGTGGCGTGTCCAAGAGTGCAACCAACATGCGAGCGGCATCAAAATCGTCATCAGCATCGTCGCTGGCACGACAGAAGCACGCGTCGCAACAGCCTGGTGTTGCTGCGTTTGAGTTTGGGATTGAGCCCCATCACACAACACCGTCATCGGCACCATCGGCACCATCATCACCTGCCACATCGTCACACCACGCTGGCCCGCGCCACCGCGAGCATGCCAGACATGTTTACCCGCACGGACAGCAGCGCCCAGCCCACCCGAGCAGCCACGGCAACAGCGCAGCCACCACGACGACAACAACACGCACCACCAGCCCACAGGCACGCCACCCCTTTGGTGGCGGTCGCGCTGGGGATGGGATTGTAGCTGGGGATGAGGGTGGGAGCCCGTTGTTGGTGAAGCAGGCATCCTTCAGCTCTGCACCGACGCAACATCAGTTTGGCGTGGGTGCTGTTGGCGTCTCTGCACAATAGTCAACAGTGAGAGGGGGGAAGAGGAGTTGGAAAGCAGGATGGCAGCTATGGTGACGTGGTGGTTGAATGATTTTGTGCGTGTGCGTGTGTGTGTGTGTGTGCGTGCGTGTGGTTTGGTGTCGAATAGACAAACGTTCTGACAAGGGCCCTTGCTTGCTTGCAGTGGCCAATGAAATGCTGCTATGCTACACAACACACACACACACACACACACACACACACACACACACACACACACACACACACACACACACACACACACACACACACACACACACACACAATTTGAATTTGGCGGCAGACTGCCCTCCACAATAAAAATTCTGTATTCTCGCTCGATTCCAGCTCACCACACACCCATACAACACACACCACACTGCATACAAAGCACAAGAAGCCTGCCTGTCCTTCTCCTCCCAGCCTCCCACACACAACCAGTGTTGCGCCCTATCGCTTCAGCAGCAGCCTTCACCACCACCACACCGTCTTGTGCTTGTTCCGCTGGGTAGCGGTAAGCCGCCACGACGCATTCGCCAGAGGAGTCGCCACTGCCGCCCCTGTGGGCTTGTTCGCACGCATCCGTCTCACTGCGGCTGAGGTGTGCGTGTGTGTTAGTGTGTGTGTGTGTGTGTGTGTGTGTGTGTG